CACACACACACACACACACACACACACACACACACACACACACACACTTCCGGACATTTTCTACTAATATAATTTCTCGACATTTTGGAACATTCTAAACCTATTTCCATCAAAATCTCGAAAATTCTTTTTTTCAAATAAGTAAATAAATCAATAATACTTTGATCCGCGGTAAAGTTTTTTTAATATATCCGTAATTACGCATGTATTCCCTTGTATAGCAACTCAATAAAGCCGTCTGTAATACCGACAATTGTACTTTCCTCCTGACTTTTTATTGGCTTTATGGATTTGAAAAAATCTTGCACAGAATTAAAGTATGTGCTCTACTCTGTGGACGACTACCGATTTTGTAAAAAAATAAGTAAATAAAGCAGTAAAAAAATTAACAATATTTGCTTCGTATAAAAAAATTCTACAACTTGATGTTACAAAATGAGGCTGCAGGACCATTCAGTAGACATCAAGGAATATCATACCGTTTGTAGAATTAAGCTGAGACTCCAAACAAAAAAGTTATTTGGAAAGAACAACTACGTGAACGTGATGACACCAAACCAGCAGTATTGCGTGTAGCAAGAGATGACGCAGCAATCAGACAAGGACAGATGCATTTTGTTAGACAAGGGCAGATATAGGCCGGTAATATAAATTCAAAAAAGGTAAAAAAAAGTGCCAAGTACTCGCAATGTATTTTGTAAATTCATAAATCTAATATAAGTGATAGCTTTATATCTTTTTCACAAAATTATATTATCTAACTTAACTCAAATGACATGTATTTAACCCTAGACAGACTCACTTATTTTTCTCATACGTGAATGACTCACTGGGGTGTCACGATATCCCAAACTTGTACCGCGTGTATAATATTTCCAGAATGTTCTTAGAAAATTTTATAATAGATAATTTTGTTTGTTGTTTAATAGGGAAGACGATAGTATAGTCATCAATTTGCGGTAGTAAAAAAAAAACAGTAAAAAAATTTCGAAAAACAAGAAAAAAAATCAAAAATTGGGCTGAAATGACTATTTTTATAAAAAATGCTGTTGTTTTCCATAAAAATCACCGATTTTAAAATTTCCAACGGATTTTGAAAGACGAATAGACAACCTTCAAGGGCATGTAAGCGATTTTTTCGTTTCTTAAAAAAAAAACATATTTTTTTGAACATCTGAAGTAGAGGAAATGACGAAAAACTGTCGGATGGGAAAAATCCCAAGAAATGGAAAGTAAAACAGATTCTGTCAATTATTATTTATTTGAAAGGTAGTCAAAAGTTATAAAAGTATATGGAAACAGTAAAATTAACTCTACAAAAACTTTACAAAGTTTTAGTCAGTTGCTGTGCAAGAACAGCAAAAATGAAATAATTGACCGAATCTCAAACAATTATATATGAAACAGGGGTAG